TTCCAGGATATGAATTGGCCTCTCTACTACCAAAGAAGGAAAAAAATCTTCATGTGCCCTGTTTGCTTATTCATGTGGAAAAAAAAAAAGTCATTTCCACAAATAAAAGAAAGTTTTTTTCCAGTAGACTCACGCAAAGAATTTTAATGTAAAATTATACTTACTGCCTACCATTATGATTTAAAGGTAAGCTGTCTCTGCATCCTTTGTAGACATGGAATGTTTACATGTGTTGCTGTTAATGAAAACTGACTACAATATTTGGGTTTCTTAGTGCAGAAATGCTGAGTAAAGCTGTGCTATGGCACTCACTTCTAAGACTTGTTGGAAATATAACATAGATAACAAGGTTATCATCACATCGACTGCTATCACCTATAGCAGCAAATAATCTTCTTTATGTGTTTATCCAAAAAAAGTGCAGAGTCATTCTGATCTTCCTTCCTAGAAAGTTTACAAAAGCTGGCAGTATCCAGCCTCTCCTTCTAGCAGTGCCTCATGGCTTCAGACTGCAGTCTCAGTGGACATTATGTGGAGTGACAAATGCAGATCAAATTCCGGTGCCAAGAAGCTGACTGGTTGTGGCAGAAGCAATAGCTAAACGCTGAACAGGCATGCTTTGGTTAAGAAAACAGACAGAAGAAGACAGACTGGTTTTCATGCTTAAAGAATCCTAAGCATCTTAAGTCAAATTTAGGTAGGATGGCTCGAAAGTAAGAGACCTCAGGAATCTGAATAGGATCTGCCTTGCAGCATTGACAGGATGTAGGATGTACCTACATTAACATTTATTAATCTAACCTTTAGACTTGTAACGAAGAAGACTTTTTGACCCTCTTGTATAGTGTGTTCCAGTGTTTAATGAACCTTAAAGAAAGAAAGATTTGTTTTTTCTGGTGTCTAAGTTAAATGGGGGGGGGGTTTGTGCAAATGAAACCATGTCCTTCTCCAAGTAGAAATGAGAAAGAATTGATTTCTGTCCTCTTCGTAATAACTTATTTCATGTTGAATGTTGTTGAGTTACTACTGACGTTCCAGTCTATATGGGAAAAGAGTCCAACTGATTCAGTTTTTCTTTACGCTTTTCATTTTTAAATAAAAGGCCATTGTTTGCTGGTTTTATTCCTCAGGGTATTCACCCTAATTTTTCTATTTTTTTTTAAATGTCCCCACTCACAGCAGGGTTCTGGAACTAGATGATCTTTAAAGGTCCCTTTCAACCCAAATCTTTCTACGATCCAATGAAAATGCCATGCCCCTTTTCAAAACATCACTCCAGTTCTCCTTTTTGAAGATACATACTTTGCTGCTTCTCTCCTTTCTTCTTGGACCATCGCATCTACTTTCATTCTCTAAGATGACTTCTAATAGTTCTGAGATTGCTTTGGCTTAATTTTTAATTGATTCATTTCTCCAGGCTCTTCCAGCTTGAATAAGTTTAACTCAATCAAGTGGTCTTTAATCTGTTATTTCATTCTTCTTTTTTCTATCCCTATCCTCTTCAAACTTATTTTTAATATCTGCTCACAATTAATCTTTTGGTTTTGGATTTGGGGCAGAAAACACATTATTTATTTCCATCTTCTCTGCAGCCTCCCTTACTTGCTCTCTTAACCTCACAGGTAATGGGATAAAAATTTCTCCTCTCCTTTTCTCTTAAGTAGTCATAGGCCATTGCCTGTCTGGCAAATAAAAAATTGCTGTACTTCATTTGTGTCATGTCAGTACCTGAGAAACTTGGCCGTTTTGACCCAGAGCCAAAGACCCTCTGAACCTTCCTAGAACTGCTCAGTGAACTTCACTCTCAGTGTTGTCAGTGACATAACAATGCAGCTGAAGGAACAGAATTTTACAGAGTGGGTGTGGCGTTCGAATCACCAGAATTGTCAGATAATGTTCAGAAAAAAAATGGATTTGTATCCTTGTTGGGGAAGGGGGATAGACTTGTTTATGTGGGGAGAGCAACAGAGGCTGACTGGAAAATTTGGTATCTAAGTAATGATGGGGCAAAACCAGTCAGGTAAAGATCTTCTTCTGGCAGCAAGGAAATTACTGCATTGTATTCTCCAGTATCTGTGTTTGTGTGATAGAACTGAAGTTATTTGTAAAAGGGGGATAAGTTGAAATTTTGCGTTTGTGTATTAACTATCCTAAGAAAATCAGTGCCAATTTTCATCCTCAAAGAAGTTACAAAATTAGTATTTTTTTCCTTAAGTTACTACTTGTTCTATTTGCAAAAAAGTCTAGAGTTTAATTACAGTATTTTAATTTTCAATATTTTCACAAGTCATTAGTGTATACTCTTGGGTATTCCTTTTTACGTATGTTTGACAATATAAAGCTCCTTTCTATTACTCATTGCATACCTACCCTAAGTTTAAATGCACCCAGGAATTCTTCACTGAGAGTGTGATATGCTAAAATTTTTGGATTAATAACAATAAAAACATGACAAAGATACAACTGTGAACATAAACTTGCAGGAGGGCACATAAGTGAGATTTTTGAATAAGCAGAGAAAAACCAGTATTACTGTTAATTGTTGATAGAGCTGTTAGAGCATTGCTTCACCCAACCCGGTGCTGGAGCATGTCCAGAGAAGGGCAACGTAGCTGGTGAAGGGTCTGGAGCATAAGTCTGTTGAGGAATCACTGAGGGGGCTTCTCTACAACTCCCTGAGAGGAGGTTGTAGCCAGGTGGGGGTTGGTCTCTTCTCCCAGGTAAGAAGCAACAGGACAAGAGGAAGTGGCCTCAAGCTGTGCCAGGGGAGGTTTGCATTGGATAATAGGGAACATTTTGTTTTCAAGCACTGGAAGAGGCTGCCCAGGGAAGTGGGAGAATTACCATCCCTGGAGGTATTAAAAGATGTGAAGATGTGGCACTGAGGGACATGGTTTAGTGGTGAACGTGGCAGTGCTGGGTCAACAGTTGGACTCCATGATCTCAAAGGTCACTTCCAACTTAAATGATTCAATGATTCCTATACCATTAAATTTAGCCATGCCAGGACATGGGCACTGGAAGTGATGACCAGCCAGTCTGGTCCACACACTGCAAGGTACTTCGGCACTTGCTTTAAGGAAAGTGTAAGAATGTATCCAAGTCACTGGATTCTGCAGCTTTACACAGCTGAAGGAGCCAATTCTTTCTGCTTGGTGGTCTGAAAATGACAGTGTGCAATGACAGCTGTGCCAACGACAGCTGCGCCTTGAGAATTTGAGCAACTCACCCTAAACTTACCAGGGAATTCAAGGTCCCTCCTGAACTGAGACGCTGATTCATTAGAGAGCAACATTTCCACGCAGGCCTTTTGCTAACTACAAGACTTCTGTAGCACTGTAGGTTTATCTTTCACTGGGGACACCGATTTGCAGTAAAGCAGGTAACATTCACAGAACCTGACAGTTTATGCTGTAATTTTCCGTGTCTAGAATGGCTGTCAGGAGTCTGCTTTGGGCAACATAAGCAGCTGTATGAATCCCAAACAACTTAAATCTAAAGACAAACTCAACGGTCCTTTAGTTGTACATACTTGGTTATTTGCAAGTCTACTGTTGTCATATTTCTGCTTTTGATACAAGAAAATTGCCTTTGTGCATGCTTTGATTCATGCAATTCTTCTACTATAGAAAGTGAAGGCCCACAAACAGAGGCAATTTGCTTCTACTTCTTCTCCTGGTCAGTAGTGTCTTTCCTTACATTGGCCAGAACTTTGTCAGGGCTTGATCCAAAGTGCAGAGAACTGTCCACTTTCTCATCAAAGCCCAAATTGGTGTTTTTATTTGTTGACCAACATTTTTATTTGAAAGCCAAGCCATTTTGGCTCCTTTTTTTGAATGTTAGTTTTTTTATTTTCCCCCGAATTGAAATTCTCTAATGGGGGAAGAAAAAAATAACGTGTATATATTTTTGTCAACATATGCATTGTAGGAATGTGCATACATAATGAATAACTTTACTGGTTAAACCTAAACTAAACTAGTTAAACTAGTAAGATCAGATTCTGATCTTTGTTACCATTCTATCAAAAAATTTAATAGTTGTAGACTTCATAGACTGTGACTGTGATAAGTAAAATGAAAGTAAATCTGTATTAAGCATTAATTTATTAAAAAATCATACCCAAAAATATTTCTCAGGATGGAATATGAAGTAAGAATATGTCATGGAGCACTGAGCAGGTCTGACTTTTCTGACTGTCCTCTCATGTGAGCTAAGAGAATTCCTTGTCATCAGGAGGAGCTCTGGATAGCTGAGAGAGAAAGAGACAGAGGAGTTATAATCATAGAAAATAAACCCCTATGTTTTCCAGACAATTAACGTGGACCAATGACTTAGCCATTACCACTAGCATGTCAACTTTCATATAGTGTGAAAACTTGTGTACCATCACTGAGGAGTTCCAATCTCACTCAGTAGAGAGAGAATCATGATCCAAATTATTCTGGTTATTTATACTTACAGTATAATTTCTCCTCCATCCAGCATGAAGAACCAAGATGTTCCCACTCATTTCTCAAACAATGCCTTTAATTTATACTCTTTGGAAGAAAATGTTGTTACTTGTGTTTTTAAGTGTTTCAAATTGAATCCCTTGAGCCTTGAAAGATGTAGTGGGATCCACAAGGAATTTTAAGAATGAACCCAAGGCTTGAAGCAAACTTCATGTTCTCCTATATTTACAGTCCCTTTGGGAACTAATTCAATGTCCATTAAAATCAAGGAATGTTTTTTAAACGTTTTTTCATACTTTCTTTTCTGAGCATGGAGAGTCTCAGAATATCAGGCATGTTAATCGAAGCGCCTGCATATGAATTCTTGTATCCAGCTTTAGACAGAAAGTTCACAATTTTCCATTTGTTTAACTGGAGACAAAAAAAAAAAGAACAAAACTTAGCTGACAATTTTTTTTTACTGTTGGGGGATGAAAAACCTGCAGGATGACTGGACCTCCCCCCTTACATATATGCACATGTATACACTTTGTTTTCTCATTTCAGGTCATGGAACCAAAGGAGTGTTTGAACTTCTTTCAGGATGGCGTCGAACCAGAGAGAATCTGCCATTCAAGGACCGGGTAGCAGATGCCTACTCAGATGTCATGGTCTCCTACACAATGACAAGCTCCTTGTATTTCATAGCCTTTGGCATGGGTGCAAGCCCTTTCACCAACATCGAAGCTGTAAAAGTCTTTTGCCAGAACATGTGCGTCTCCATCCTGTTGAACTACTTCTATATCTTCTCCTTCTTTGGCTCCTGCCTGGTCTTTGCTGGCCAGCTGGAGCAGAACCGTTACCACAGCATCTTCTGCTGTAAAATCCCTTCAGCAGAGTACCTGGACCGGAAACCCGTGTGGTTCCAGACCATGATGAACGATGGCCATCAGCACACTTCCCACCACGAGACCAACCCATACCAGCACCACTTTATCCAGCATTTCCTCCGAGAGCACTACAACGAGTGGATTACCAACATCTATGTCAAGCCATTTGTGGTGATACTGTATCTCATCTATGCCTCTTTCTCCTTTATGGGGTGCTTACAGATCAGTGACGGAGCCAACATCATCAACCTTCTTGCCAGTGAGTCTCCAAGTGTCTCCTATGCCCTCATACAGCAAAAGTATTTCAGCAACTACAGCCCAGTGATAGGCTTCTACATTTATGAACCTCTGGAGTACTGGAATGGTACTGTGCAAGAAGACCTAAAAACACTAAGCCAGGGGTTCAACACAGTGTCCTGGATTGAACAGTATTACCAGTACCTTCGGGTGGATAACATCAGTGCAACCAACAAAAGTGACTTTATCAGCATCCTCCAGAGCTCCTTTTTAAAAAAGCCAGAATTCCAGCACTTCAAAAATGACATAATTTTCTCCAAAGCTGGAGATGAGAACAACATAATTGCTTCTCGTTTGTACCTTGTGGCCAGGACTAGTGAAAACACACAGAGGGAAGCAGTGGAATTGCTGGAGAAGCTGAGGCCACTCTCTCTTATACAGAGCATCAAGTTCATTGTGTTCAATCCTACTTTTGTTTTTATGGACCACTACGGTTTATCAGTAACTATGCCTGTCCTGATTTCTGGTTTTGGCATCCTCCTGGTGTTAATACTGACCTTTTTCCTGGTTATCCATCCTCTGGGAAATTTCTGGTTAATTCTCAGTGTCACCTCAATAGAGCTGGGTGTCCTTGGCTTGATGACCTTATGGAATGTAGATATGGATTGCATTTCTATACTGTGCCTTATTTACACTTTGAATTTTGCCATAGATCACTGTGCACCCCTGCTTTATACATTTGTACTCGCTACTGAGCACACCCGAACTCAGTGTATAAAGAACTCCCTCCAAGAGCATGGGACAGCCATTTTGCAGAACGTTTCTTCTTTTCTTATTGGGTTGGTCCCCCTTCTCTTTGTGCCTTCAAACTTGACCTTCACACTGTTCAAATGCTTGCTGCTTGCTGGCAGTTGCACACTTCTGCACTGTTTTGTTATTTTGCCTGTCTTTCTAACCTTTTTCCCACCTTCAAAAAAGCACCACAAGAAAAAGAAACGGGCAAAAAGGAAGGAACGAGAAGAGATCGAATGCATAGAGATTCAGGAGAATCCTGATCATGTTACAGCAGTCTGAAAGGTTTAGAAAAAATAATAGTATATTCTCTTTTTAAAAAAGTGTTGCACAGAGATGCAGGGAAAATAGAGCAAAGATCTCAGCTGCTTGTGCTGGCCAGGTCTGACAAGGCAAAGGAAGATCAAGAAGGGGTATTCATGACACCTCAAGGTGCAAACTTTTTTTAACAAAAATAATGAAAGTAAGATAATCTCAAATGTTTTCTTTGAATCCTCATTCTCCACCAGGGAAGAGGCTGTTGGTCATTAAGTGTTCCTGAATCTTAAACTGTAGCTCTAATGCAAATTGCTTAATTTGTCTTATGTAGGCCTGAAGCAAGGGTGAAAAAAAATAGTTACCATTAAGTAAAAAGTAGGGAAAAGGCAGATTTTTTTGATAAAATTGTCCATGGAAGAGAAGAAGAAACAACATTTAAAATGAGAAAAGGTTACAAGACCAAGAGAGATTAAAAATGCCATGGCACTCTTTTTCTAATTTTCTTGAGCAAGTTCGTTAAGATGAAACCTATGCACTTGGGAAGTAAATGTTTAAAACAATCTAAGCCAAAGTACTTCCCAATTCCAGTATACCATATATATCTGTAACACCACAGTTAGAGCATTATTGCAAATAGGGTTGGCAAAGCTGAGGGATAGAGGTACTGTTTATATAGGAGAAGAAACAACCATAGCCATTTGGAAATTTAACATTCAGTTCCTTTATATAAAACATCATTGTTATCCCGAGGTCACAGCTGGTAGTTAATACCATACACACATTTTAGTATTTCTGAATTGTGAATTTCCCCTCGAACTAACAGATCTCACAAAATTAACACAGACTATCACCCCTGCAGAAGTGTTTGCAGTTCCTGCAGTGTAACACTTTTGAATTCTAATTTACCAGAGTTGACATGAAATACTGAGTATTAATCAAGCAGGAGCTTTAAATGTAATGATGGATTGCATATCACAGGCATAACATGATCAGGTAACAGCTGAGTCAGCTCTGGAGCACCTGCACAGTATTATCACTATATATTTGGTCCAATGGATGAAGGAATGTGTTTGCTGGTCCCTGCAATATGCTGCAGGAAGTGGGATTTTCCCCTTCTTTAAGCAAAATGTCAGTCAAATAATTGCCAAAACACACACACACACAAAAAAAAACCTTGTAAAGGTTTGCATGGGGTTGGATCAACACCTAGTTCTAAAAAGACAGATTGGTCCCCTTTCTGGTGAAATGTCTTTTTTATTATTATTCCTAAATATTTGAGTGTTCATCATCTGCAACATAAGCCTTTGTTATGGCTGTTGAAATTTCACAGGAGAGTGCAGTAAATCCGCAGTTACTCTGTGACACTAGAAATTGTACTGTAAAGGACTATGAATGACTTTCTCTGCTTTGTAAACTATTCAGCTTAGTAGCCCAAGGGAAGGGATGAAAACAGATCCAGCCATTTCAGTTTGCTCTCGGCCCAGTGCTGCACTGGACCTTGCCATGTCGGTCTCTCCTTTCAGTATTTTAAAAGGGCTTGCTTTTTACTCTCTGGAATATGGTATAGCATCACCTCCATGAGTAATGTCTTCCTGAATCTATAGTATCCATGAGGACACTATGTAAAGATATCACTATATGGAGTGTTTATGTCTACTTTGTATTACTTGTGGGTACCTTTAAAAGATTATCTGGAAGCTGTTTGCCTTCCAAAATGTATATACATGTCTATATGTGGCTGACAACTCAGTCTCAAGCCTGCAGAGTTTGCTGATGAGGGTGTGTACATATGTTTTACTAAAAAGCTCTCTGCAAGACATTAATTCTTTGCTATGTGATATGTTTCACCTCTTCCTACTGTTTTGTGATTAGGGAGAGCCAGAAAAAATTCACCTGCAGCACAAAGAAAAGCCATTTGAATGCCAGTTCTAATGTTCATGAGCTGCTTCTGTTTCCAAGGAATGCAATTTCACCTCCTCTCTATACTTTCTGTACTTTGCCATTATCATTTGCCAAAAATGACCTCTGTGTTTTAGGAGTGGTCAGAGCTCTTGATTGTTTGAGGAAACTTTTGAGTGCAACAGGTATTAAAGAAAGATAAACTTTCTAGAAAGGCAAAGCTTCCAAAGTTTGAATCCAGACCTAAACTTCAGGGGTAGACAGATCAAGGTTACCGGCTTGACCCAAAATATTCAAGGGTCAGCTGCAAAACCAAGATCTAGGTAGTTTAGTAAGATTTAGGAGCAGGGGATGTTTTAATGTTGGGTTATGGCTCCGATGTGTCTCTAATTGGGAAGTATTTACTGACCCTGATTCCCACCTTGAAGACATTGTGTGATATCCATCCTTTTTAGGACAGCCCATTATGAATGTCAAGCTTCCCATTTTCTCCACTGTCCATGCAAAACCTGGATTGTTGTAGCACTGTGACTCTTGGTTATCACTTCTGGAGCTGTTACCTGGGAAATTCCTGGTCTTCTTTTGCATTCTGGGGATGTCTGTCATGCACTGTATTGAGGAAAATGGCACTTTCCAAAGCCATCACAGCCAGGATTCATCTCATCTAACTCCAGACACTGACAATGTAGATATTTATATCTGAACTTCCTTTATGGCCATGAGAGAGGGACAGACCCTTCTGATCCCTTTTTTAGGTTGTGCATTGGGAGTAAAAAATCACACTTTTTCAAATGCAGATTTCTGTCCATTGGTGATCAAGGAAGCTCAGCACAATTAGTTCAAACACAGACATGGGTTATGCAGACTCATCCAGAGATGGTGAGATTAACCCCACTTGAAATGGCCAAATATCAAGTGAAAGAGCAAAGATAAAAACCATTGAAACTTGCCTCCCAAGCTTCTATTTTAGGGATAAATCCCAGGAGTAACTCAGCTTAAATTTTATGTTTTGCTTATGAGGCTTTTATGCAGAACAGATTGTTTAAAAATTGTCCCTGGAATTCTCCCAGCAGAGAATGGTGAGCCAAGAAATTAGATGTCAATATTGAAGGTGTGCTTACATGAATGAACTAGAGTTTGATGAAGTGTCAAATCAGCTCCCCTCAACATCACATACATGCAGGAGCACTTGTATAACAGAGAACTGATATATAGATCACACACTGGGACTAGAAGCCTTTTATTTCCATACCAATGCAGGAGTGGAGCAGAAAACAAACCATATCTTCCATGGTTGTCATTGGTTATTTTTTGCCAACCATTTTCCACATCCATCAAAAAAAAGACCAGTGTAGCTGTTACTTCTGCAGATACATTGGTCTCTGTGGAACAAGGAAAGCTTTCACTTCAACCTAAAAATAGATTATTTTCTTCTATAACCCAGTTCACACTGGAATAATTTTGGGACAGATAGTCCACATTATTTAATTCCTTCTCCCTTTTTTTGCTTATTTTTCTTTCAGTCCATTTAAAAAAAAATTATACCTTTTCTGTAGAACTTTTCCAGCTCAGCTGGAGCTACACCTTTGAAGAAAGGGCACAGCTCATGCAAAGGAATTTGACACTGATAAATGCTGCATATTTTTTCCCAGTTATCATAACTCCCCTGCAATACTGCACATATTCCTTTAATGTCTTATTTTATATATGGTCTAGATAATCTACCAAGAACCCTCTGTCCATCTCCTGCTTTGTTTGGTTTCATTCCCTTGAAGTATATTGGTTTGAATTCATTGTTGAGATAACTCTGTTGAAGTCAGCAGATTTATTGCCATGATATATCTGACTTTGCATGCTTTCTATCCAGTAAGAAGTGAAATCATGACAAATGAACCTCTTACATTGTTGATGTGCTTGTTGAACAATATATCTGTCTATACTCTATAGCCATTGTTGCATGCTGCGTTCAGGAGGCTGCAATGAAGGTATATTTCTAGACACTTTCCTCTGTGGGCTACTTTGACCTTGATCTATTCACTGTCTTTTTTATTAGAGTTAAGTCTTCAGCTCTATAGTGCAGTACTTGATATAGGTTTGGATTAGATTTTTGGAAGAAATTCTTGGCTGTGAGGGCGGTGAGGCTCTGGCACAGGTTGCTCGGGGAAGCTGTGGCCGCCCCATCCCTGGAAGTGTTCAAGACCAGGTTGGATGGGGCCCTGAGGAACCTGGCCTAGTGGAAGGTGGCCCTGACTGTGGCAGGGGTGTTGGAACAAGATGATCTTTAAGGTCCCTTCACACTCAATCCATTCTATGATTCTACATTTTGTAAATTTATTGCCTAAAAAAGCATCATACTTTTTATGGCCAAGATAGGTATGGCACCTTATATGCATAATTTAAAGAGTTAAAATTCAGGATTATTGTTCTCAACCTTTTAGTTCAAACAATTTCTCTTCAAAATGCTAATATCTATTGAAGTTCCTTAAAAAAGTCTAGTTCTGAAATTTTCTCCAATGGGGAAGAAAAGAACCGGGGGGAAGGAAGAAATATGCAGTTAAGTAGTTGTGTAATCAGTGTTCTTTTTTCCCCAAAGGCTTTCACTGCTCTACTCTTAATTAAGTCACACTGAGTAGTGACTCTAGCATAATTAAGATTTATTTCAATGGAGTTATTCCATATTTCATTGTGACAAAAGCTTGGCTTATTGTCTTTATGCAAGCACCATGCTAAGTCTCTGATTAATTTTTCAGTAATTATAAACTTTAATAAGTTATTTTTCATTGCAACACTAGGTTTTTGAGTACCTCAAGCTCTCATTCGATGTTCTAGGAAACACTGTAAGGAAGTAAAGTTAGTCAGTCAGCGAGCAAGAGATGTTGTGTTGGGGAAAAGGGATTCTTCACAGAGGCAGCATATACTCCAACAAGGCTTTAAATAAAAAATGATGCTCAGGATATCTCAGATGATTAATGTGAAGTGGAAACCAAGTGAAACCTTGTTGGGAGGGTAGTGTAATCAAATCACAGACAGAAAAAACTTTGATTTTTCTTCCAGAACTTCTTACACAAGCAAGAAGGCGTTTGAACAGGGAAGGAAACTGAATACAGAAAGCAGCTCATCTATCACTTGAAATGATTCATTTCACTGTAGTCTTACATAAGCAGTGCCACAGACCAAGTGAGTGCAGGTTGTCCCACCTCAGCATGGGCCTCTTCGTGTCCTATTTTCCATGTACAGCAAGGAAGGGATTCCATCTTTGGTTTCACACGCCCTTGGGGAGGAGATTCAGAGCTGCTTCCTTGCCTGACAAAACTGTGTGTGAATGAGAGCTGAAAGATGAACACCACACTGCAAGCACAGGTACTGCATGCTCCCCTTGTTCTCTCCCCACCTTCTCATGAGCAGCAACACCATGAACTCTTGGTACCAAACTCACTAAGTGCCAGCATTCATAATTTCCCCGGGAGTAACCTGGAATTTGTGATCACAGCAGTTCACAAGCTGATAGATCTCTGACCAAGAAGACTTCAGGGACTTTTTTAGAGGTTTTCTTTGAAAGATGCCCACTTCTCACTACAGAGCCTCTTACCTCACCTCACCTGCCCAACACTGGAGAGGTGCAACTTGTTCTGACATGGAAGTCAGGTAGAAGAAAGTTTTCTGGAAAGTTTTGCTTTTAACACTCAAGGTTTTTCCCAAACTCAAACTTTTTTTTTTTTCTCAAGCATTTCTCCATTTGTTTCAACTTCCTTAATAGCTTAAAAGCAAAGTCTCCCATGCAAAACTGGGATGCTCATCCTACCCACAGTGGTACAAAACATCATTGCTTAACCATGAGGTTGAGGTGGGTTATTGGCTTTCAGGCCAAACACAGGGATTTGGCTTTCTAGCCCAGACAGGCAAT